GAAGACCAAAGAAGAAAGAAAAAGAAAGAAAAAAGAAAAAAGAAGAAAAAAGAAAGAAAGAAAGAAAGAAAGAAAGAAAGAAAGAAAGAAAGAAAGAAAGAAAGAAAGAAAGACATAATAAAAAAAGGGGACAAAGAAAGTTAGAAACGTAGTTGGCTTCTTCTTTTTCCTCGTCGTCGTCTTCTTCTTCTTCTGCTTCTTCTTCTTCTTCTTCTTCTTCTTCTTCTTCTTCTTCTTCTTCTTCTTCTTCTTCTTCTTCTTCTTCTTCTTCTTCTTCTTTTTTCTTTCTCTCCACCCTCCTCCTTTTCCTATTTGTCTCTTTCTTCTTCTTTTGCTGGCACGCTGTATTGTTATTTCTAGCCACTCTACGATACCAATTCTTTCGGCCGAACACCTCAGATTTCTGCAAACCGCAATTAGTCAAGTGCTAAAACATCTTGTCAAGGTCACTGTATCTATGCTTTTCGCTACAAAGTGGAACCAAAGATCCCAAATGGACAGCATTGCAGATTTCAACAATCTATTTAAAGTACACGAAAGAAGACAAGAAAAAGTTTCCTTAACATTCCCCAAAAAACATTTCTTTTTTGTCTATTACCACAATCAAAGCAATAAAACTCTGACCCTCAGAAGCTAGCAATCTTCCATTCAGCTGAAACCAGGTGTAATTCTCAAAGCGGTGTCCCATTTCACGTTACAGGTTGATCTGTATCAATATTTAAAAGGATGGATATTAAAAGACACTAAAAAAGCTTCTGGCAATATCACGAGCCGGCTTGAGCGTGCAAAGCGCTTCTAAAACCAATTGGACGCACGTTGTGTGACGTTTAACACTCAAACGCCAAGCAGGCAAATCCGATAGGGGAGTAGATATACATATGTTTAGCTTTTCGCCGCCATGTTGTCTTTATCATTTGTACACCGACTAACCTCGTTGAATGTTTGCAATTTGGGAAATCGTTCTAAGATGGGGGACGTAAAACGAAAAATAGCCCAAGCATTTCGGAAAATTACACGTATCTATTATTTGTTAAGAAGAAAAATCTTCCGTAGTTTGTGAGTTATTGGGTAGTTTAAAGCTAGGATTAGTGATATTTTAACGTGTTGCGTATGTTATGAGAGGTAAATATTTCCTACCCTAGAAACTTTAGTTACACAATTATATGCAGTCACTAGTAAGTGGGAGTGGTTGACTGTCTTTTCACCGTCTGGAAAGGAAGGGCGTAATAATAATAATAATAATAATAATAATAGGAAGAAGTTGAAGAGACGACAAGGAAGAAAAAGAGGAAGAAAATGAAGAGGAGGACAAAGAAGAAGACGAAGAAGAAGAAGAAGAAGAAGAAGAAGAAGAAGAAGAAGAAGAAGAAGAAGAAGAAGAAGAAGAAGAAGAAGAAGAAGAAGAAGAAGAAGAAGACGAAGAAGAAGACGAAGAAGACGAAGAAGAAGAAGAAGAATTCAGTTCTCAGTAGTTCATTTTATCAGTCAGTTATCAGTCGTCATTTCAACGTCACGGAAAATGGAAAGAGGAGGGGAGAGAGGAGGTTGTGGGAAGAAAAGGGGGGGGGGAGGGGGTGGTCACTCCATAGTTGTCCTGTTCGCATGCCAGTTAAACCTTCACGCAATGCCTATCACTGTTCAATGTGTAAAATAAAATAGGCTGAAGTCCCGACAACAGCTCGCATACGCATTAACTATATAAGGCAGCTGCCAGAGGTGCAACACTAAAAATACATCGCTAGAACTGCATATCATCGCTGACAGAAGCGGCAGTCAAGACAGCAGTTTAAGTCAGCACAGTCGAATCTACAACATTCCGCAGTCATGAACTAGCACGTTTTCTCACGTGGATTGGGAACCAGGCCAGGCACACATATAACTCAAAATTCAACTCAACATTTTATCCACGAAATGCAACAATCATTTAACGTTGTCTGTTGAATGTTGGTTTAACTGCAATACGATAAGATTTATTCCTAAGCCAGAGTACGGGCAGCACGCAATCAACAGTGGCAACAAGAATAAATCCGTTGCAGATAAAGGAATTATGGCTCTATTAAAAACAAAACAGGATGGGACAACGGTTAAAATACACGGCCGTATTTTCATCCCTATGCCATTTGCAGATATTACGAAACACTGGGCGGGAGTAAAATCGTCCATTTTGAGTGGCATTTGTTGTCTGCCGTTCGTAGTGATTTAATCTACACTGGCGCAGGCAGTGTAAGGCTTGATGTTATTATTTTATTGGGAACTCCATCTTCAGTGTGTTTCCTTGTTGCTTACAATCAGTGTAGAGCGCACAGTGTCTTTGTCTGCGGGAACGTTAGGATTCTCACAATGTCGTTTAAGTGATAAAGGTTCTGAGTTTTTCGTTGCTGCTGCTGTTTTTTCTCCTTCCTTTCTTTCTTTCTTTCTTTCTTTCTTTCTTTCTTTCTTTCTTTCTTTCTTTCTTTCTTTCTTTCTTTCTTTCTTTTTCTTTCTTTTTCTTTCTTTCTTTCTTTCTTTCTTTCTTTCTTTCTTTCTTTCTTTCTTTCTTTCTTTCTTTCTTTCTTTCTTTCTTTCTTTCTTTCTTTCTTTCTTTCTTTCTTTCTTTCTTCTTCTTCTTTTTCTTCTTCTTCTTCTTCTTCTTCTTCTTCTTCTTCTTCTTCTTCTTCTTCTTCTTCTTCTTCTTCTTCTTCTTCTTCTTCTTCTTCTGCCGCTGCTGCTGCTTCCTCATCCTCCTCTTCATTTGACCTCATTACCCACCTACTACCTATTGATCTATACAAATGGGTCTAGAACCATATTACTGGTCCGCCGTTAGGGTAGAATTGTGTCCGTTACTGGCCTAATTTACGTTCATCATTGTTCTATGGCAGGAAGCGAACCAGGCCTCATACTGACCCTAGCACCACCTGTTAATCACTCGACCACCATCACTCGCCCCGCTCCCAAGATCCAGCAAGTCATAATGGCGTGCAAAAAGGCCCTTTCTCCACTGCAATCAACTCTTTAGATCTCCCTCAATCAACTCCTTAGATCTCCACTCTTTAGATCTCACCAAGGTCTTCCTATATAACCCACATCACTATGTCCTGTTTAACCTAGGTGGTCCACTAAAGCCCCTCCCGCCCGCCCCTACCTCTCCCGCCCGCCCCTACCTCTCCCGCAATTGTCAACCCCCTTTGTAAGCTATAAGAACCGTTGACCCGAACAAATATGAAACATAACACCAACCCCAAAACGATACGTTCAGAGAATCACATATTATATTGACACACATCATCGCAAGAACACACATTTTACAGAATTACAATGACTGTCTATTTATAACTATCATTTGAAGACGGCTTGATTTTCAAATCCTTTGCCTGCTATCTTATTAGTAACTCCAGTTCCCTAGAGGAAACGGCTGATTCGCCAAAGGCCACACAGGAGGATAGATGGGAATCTGGTTCCTTAGAGGTTGTAAACATACCCAAGTTCTGTCATAAAATTCTGTTTCCTGGGATTCGTTCCTGATGCCTTCAGATACGGCTTTTTCGCCACCTCTTGCGATAAGCGGCACGGGGAATTACCACTGGGCTATTTATTGCCACCTCAATATTTTTATGTATCTTTCGTATTATGCGGTGCAGGTGTGAAGTTTAAACGCAGACTGTGAGCGAAAAGAGGATATTTATTTTATTTGCTATTATAAAATAGATCAGTTTTCCACTGTTAGGAATAAATATTTCTATATTACAGTCATTTCTACGTTGAAATTCCAGTCGGTGTACCGTAGATACAGAAAAATTGCAGGAAAAATGATTGTTGGAAATCTGATAGGACTTTCGTGCGGATTTATGGGCGTTTAAATTTTATAGTTTTCAATATTATTACTTTTTTGTCGTCTCCTTTCTGTCTCTTTGAACTTGAAGTTACATAAATATTTCTTAGAATATTCAAAGGAGAAAAAATGACAAATACAGACATTTTGTGAGATAATAATATTCTTCAGAACAGCAGGCCGAAGAGTTAGTCCACTTATCTCTTATGCTGGAGAACTAGGTTCGAAGCCTCAATAAGGTCACTTAAGGTTGTTTTTTTCTCGGGCGAGAAACGCAGAGTCCGTGATTCTTTTAAATGCCCGCTTCTGCACTATGGATCTGTTCCAGAACTTGAGTTTCTCGTGCACATCCGTCTTACATATCTGGTTTTATTTATGTGCAGACTGTTGATTCATTGCTTCTCAGACAGATGCACTCCGACTTCCAAGACAACTCACCTAATTACTCGTCTTCTACGATATTTATGTGGAGTGTGGGGGGGGGGGTGAGGCAGAAAGTCTATCCGCCTTTCCCTCCCCACAGTGAAGCCTCTGAACCCGCACGTGTATTGGCCCCTATCAAAGTGAATGATGGCATTGATAAAGCTTTTGATCAAGTGATCTATCTATGTATCTATCTATGTATCTATCTATCTATCTATCTATCTATCTATCTATCTATCTATCTATCTATCTATCTATCTATCTATCTATCTATCTATCTATCTATCTATCTATCTATCTATCTATCTATCTATCTATCTATCTATCTATCTATCTGTCTGTCTGTCTGTCTGTCTGTCTGTCTGTCTGTCTGTCTGTCTGTCTGTCTGTCTGTCTGTCTGTCTGTCTGTCTGTCTGTCTGTCTGTCTGTCTGTCTGTCTGTCTGTCTGTCTGTCTGTCTGTCTGTCTGTCTGTCTGTCTGTCTGTCTGTCTGTCTGTCTGTCTGTCGATCCATCCGTCCATCCATCCATCATCTATAAATCTATCTAATTGTCTGTCTGTCTGTCTCTTTACTATCTATCTATCTGTCTGTCTGTCTGTGGCCGGCCGGTGTCTGTCCGTCGACTGATGTTTGTCTGTCTGTCTGGCTTGAGTCGGTTTGTTCTGGTACCCTTTGCTTATATACAGGTATACTCTGAATGTTCTGTCATCGCAATGAACATCATCATCACCACCTCTAATCACCACGTGTTCGCTACCCCCACAGACCTCGACGACAGCTACGACAGCGAAGACTACCACACTAGCGACGTGGCAGACAAACCCACCAGACCCGGACACAGCAGCAACCCGTTCGCTTCCATGAACGGCGACGCCGAGTTCACAGACTTCGAATCGTTTGTGGCCAAGTTCAACGCTGTCGTTCGGGCGCTGGTCGATGCGGCTAAAGCAGTGGAAAGGCGGGCCAGCGAGGAGAAGAGTAAGTCGGACGTTACTGTTGTTGTTGTTGTTGTATTTTCTTCCCTCTCATTCTTTTGTTTAACGTGTTGTGGCTGTTATTCGTTGTTTAATGAATGTGGACCACGCCGTTTCTCAAATATGTCTTCACCGCTTCTCTGTCTGTCTGCCTGTCTGCCTGCCTGCCTGTCAGTCAGTCTGTCTGTCTGTCTGTCTGTCTGTCTGTCTGTCTGTCTGTCTGTCTGTCTGTCTGTCTGTCTGTCTGTCTGTCTGTCTGTCTGTCTGTCTGTCTGTCTGTCTGTGTGGTCAGCGTTGTACAAAGCTGGAAACTCCGTAACCCCAACAACGACCGCACGGTTCTCTGAAACACGGGCACTATTAAACAGAACCCGAAATCGAACCAATAATCTTCAGAGGACAAAGCAACCCGCTGAACCCTATCGCCACAGAGTCTCACAGACCGTGCGACTAGGCAGTGTGACCAGCAAGACCCGCCTGCGTTCAGTAAAGTGTTCTAAAATTACAGCAAGAGACTTCTACAATTAGAGCATGGCGACTTCTACAATTAGAGCATGGCGACTTCTACAATTAGAGCATGGCGACTTCTACAATTAGAGCATGGCGACTTCTACAATTAGAGCATGGCGACTTCTACAATTAGAGCATGGCGACTTCTACAATTAGAGAATGAAAACTTCCACAATTAGAGCATGAAGACTTCCATAATTAGAGCATGGCGACTTCTACAATTAGAGAATGAAAACTTTCACAATTAAAGCATGAAGACTTTCACAATTAAAGCATGAAGACTTTCACAATTAGAGCATGAAGACTTTCACAATTAGAGCATGGAGACTTTCACAATTAGAGCATGAAGACTTTCACAATTAGAGCATGAAGACTTTCACAATTAGAGCATGAAGACTTTCACAATTAGAGCATGAAGACTTTCACAATTAGAGCATGAAGACTTTCACAATTAGAACATGGCGACTTCTACAATTAGAGCATGGCGACTTCTACAATTAGGACATGACGACTTTCACAATTAGAGCATGGCGACTTCTACAATTAGGACATGGCGACTTCTACAATTAGGACATGGCGACTTCTACAATTAGGACATGGCGACTTCTACAATTAGGACATGGCGACTTCTACAATTAGGACATGGCGACTTCTACAATTAGGACATGGTGACTTCTACAATTAGGACATGGCGACTTCTACAATTAGGACATGGCGACTTCTACAATTAGGACATGGCGACTTCTACAATTAGAACATGGCGACTTCTACAATTAGAGCATGGTGACTTCTACAATTAGGTCATGGCGACTTCTACAATTAGAGCATGGTGACTTCTACAATTAGAGCATGGTGACTTCTACAATTAGAGCATGGTGACATCGACAATTAGAGCATGGTGACTTCTACAATTAGAGCATGGTGACTTCTACAATTAGAGCATGGTGACTTCTGCAATTAGAGCATGGTGACTTCTGCAATTAGAGCATGGCGACTTCTACAATTAGAGCATGGTGACCTCTACAATTAGAGCATGGCGACCTCTACAATTAGAGCATGGTGACTTCTACAATTAGAGCATGGTGACTTCTAGAATTAGAGCATGGTGACTTCTACAATTAGAGCATGGTGACTTCTACAATTAGAGTATGGTAACTTCTACAATTATAGCATGGTGACTTCTACAATTATAGCATGGTGACTTCTACAATTAGAGCATGGTGACTTCTACAATTAGAGCATGGTTACTTCTACAATTAGAGCATGGCGACTTCTACAATTAGAGCATGGTGACCTCTACAATTAGAGCATGGTTACTTCTACAATTAGAGCATGGTGACCTCTACAATTAGAGCATGGTTACTTCTACAATTAGAGCATGGTGACCTCTACAATTAGAGCATGGTTACTTCTACAATTAGAGCATGGTGACCTCTACAATTAGAGCATGGCGACTTCTACAATTAGAGCATGGCGACTTCTACAATTAGAGCAAGGCGACTTCTACAATTAGAGCATGGCGACTTCTACAATTAGAGCATGGTGACTTCTACAATTAGAGCTTGGCGACTTCTACAATTAGAGCTTGGTTACTTCTACAATTAGAGCATGACGACTTCTACAATTAGAATGTGGCGACTTCTACAATGAGATAAAGGTGATTTCAGGACCATTGTTGCATAATATGCATTTAGTGTGTTTCTTCTCTGACGCTCAACTCTTATCCTTTTTGCAATCTGTTCTTCCATTCTGCTCCTTGCTGATTTGTCCCCTCCACACAACACGGTCTCTGGCGTTATGTTCCCACAATTCTACTTCAATACCTGTATCCTTCATGTCGCGCGTACATACATGTTTATATCGTAGTAAAACCCAGCCTCGAAATTGTCTACCTATCTTTCAAAGAGCTATTGACTGACCCTTGTATAGCCCATTAAGAAGGGAATACTGGCTCACTGAGTCAACGGTATACTTACATTTGTTCAGGACTGAAAGGGAACTTTCAAAAATAGTCAAGTTAATCAGAAGAACTTGTCTGTCGGTGTAAATCAGAAAGCAAGCACAAGAAGAAGAAGAAGAAGAAGATGAAGAAGACGAAGAAGAAGAAGAAGAAGAAGAAGAAGAAGAAGAAGAAGAAGAAGAAGAAGAAGAAGAAGAAGAAGAAGAAGAAAAAGAAAAAGAAGAAGAAGATGAAGAAGTAGTAGAAGAAAAAGAAGAAAAAGAAGAAGAAGATGAAGAAGTAGTAGAAGAAGAAGAAGAAAAAGAAGAAGAAGAAGAAGAAGAAGAAGAAGAAGAAGAAGAAGAAGAAGAAGAAGAAGAAGAAGAAGAAGAAAAAGAAAAAGAAAAAGAAAAAGAAGAAGAAGAAGAAGAAAAAGAAGAAGAAGAAGAGAAAGAAGAAGAAGAAGAGCACTTGAATATTTGGGAAGGGGCAGTGTTTAGAGGGCCCGAGCTCCTAAGTTACGGCGCCCATATTTTCTTTCAAACCATCCCCTACCATTAAAAGAATAACTAAGCCTATTTTGCCTCCCGCCACCCAATGTTTCCTCTCGACGGCACATTAGCTATTAATGTGATTTTGTCCTTTTCCCATAGAAGGGTATTATCTCTTCTTTATGTCTATGAAACGCCGCCAAGGGAAAGAATCAACAAATTAGGCTGCTTGAGATATCAGCCGTTTGCATGGCAACGACTGCTTCCGGTAATGGTATATTTAGACGCCATAATAAAATAAAATATGTCGGCCGTTGAAGATTGTTCACATACACTCACAGACACACACACACACACACACAAATAGGAAAAATAATGAGAAGTGCGAGAAAACGTGATTAGGGGTTGGGGGGGGGGGGGGGGTGAGGAAGTATTTGGATGCACTTTAAAAAATAAATACAAAAGCTGTTTTGTAAGTAAAGTGTTGCATGCGAAGAACATGGGAAGTGAGGGAACGGCTCGGTGTGGCGTATGCCTAGGGTGTGTGAGGACACTTCTCTACTCCTGTAGGCGTATTTGGCATATAGGATAGACTTATGTATTACAGACCAATCAGCACTTGGTGGGTGATGTTGTCAGCAAGACGCCGACCGCCTTTACTTCCCATGACTGCACCTGGTACCCGCTCAAGGCTGGGTCGACCTGGGAGCCAAAGCCATTAAAAAGAAAGTTCGGCTTGGTCAGGACCCAAACCATGGCGACCCCCGAGTGGGGTGTATGAATAGTGAAAAGGAAATACAGGACACCCTCGTTAACACAAACTTATGACGACTACTAACATGAAGAAAATTGCGACCCCAGCAGGGATGGTTCGTTACTGGTGCCCGGTAGCATGAACTATTATTATTTATGTTTTACACTCATTGTTTATTTTTCGAACTTCTACAATTCGTGCTTATGACTAACGTTTAGTCGTGAACTTGTATTTACTAGTCATTTTTTAATAATCTTTTTTCTTTCTCTTCTGTCAAATTTGCAAATAAATTATCTCATGTAATAGTTTCTTGACAATCTATGATCCCTGGTTGAAAGATCAGAAGAAGGCGAAGCAGAAAAAGAAGAAGAAGAAGAAGAAGAAGAAAAAGAAGAAGAAGATGATGATGATGACGGTTAAAACGAAGGCAAAGAAGAAGAAGCAGATAATAATAATAATATTAATGATAATGATAATAATAAGCAGAAAGAACAAAAAGAAGTTTACGAAGTAAGAAAAAGAAAACTTAAAACAGACAATATGTAATTATTACATACAATCAATCAAAAAATTTCATGTGATTAATAACGAGAATTGTTCAACGTATCATGCGTTGCTTGGTACAATACGCAGTAAGTGCTGTGTAATGTGAACATTCTGTAAAGTTACCATTGCAAATTGTAAGGTTTAACCAAACGACGACATTGAACTGAACTCATATAAAAATAGTGTGGAAATGTCGCATTTATCCAAGAACAAATAACGACCTTTTGGAAAACTGGCAAAATTGGACTCAAGACGACTAAGTACAGATAATAAAGTTTGAGAAACTCCTCCCAAATTGGTCCCATACGCTAAAATGGTTCCAACAGTGAAGAGCATCTTAGAAGCCAAAGCGCGAGCCTTAGGTCGAGGGAGGAAATCACTAATAGAAGAAATCTCCGGATTTCACCAGTATTTCATCGGCTGCTCGGCAGTCGGCAGACGGACTTGACAGAAAAATGGGCGGGTAATGAATTGAATTTTAGATTCGGATGCTTTTAGAGTTTTCGGTTGAGGATTCTGGAGAAACGAAAATATCACCCAAATGGGCCGCCGTACTTTATGGCTTTATCTGTATTTGAATTAGACACCTTTTTAAATTAAAAAATAATGACGTTTGGATCCACTCGTTTCGTCTTCCTCTTTCTTTCTTTTCTTTCTTTCTTTTCTTTCTTTCTTTCTTTCTTTCTTTCTTTCTTTCTTTCTTTCTTTCTTTCTTTCTTTCTTTCTTTCTTTCTTTCTTTCTTTCTTTCTTTCTTTCTTTCTTT